AATTGGTTCAACTAATTTGACTATTTTTGCTGCCAAATTTTTATAATGACGTTTTTAATATTACATGGTAATCAAGAAAAAATATATCAATCGAATATTAGTGGATTTTTCGACGTGTAAAATATAAAATACGACGTTTTATTGACACATAATTCTGCGCATGTAACTCAATGTATCAGTTTTATAGGATAAATGGGCTAAACATTTATTTATTTTACCACCAACAGTAGCCAAATCTTACTAGTTTTCTAATTGGACACCGAGATTACTAGCGCCAGTGCTCAATGAATCTGAATCAATTCACGCATTTGGATCTCATTCCCATACATCAGTAGACGAGTAAATATATGTGATATTTTTCTTTTTTGATCCGAAATAATGTGTACTATTAACAAGAGAGATATGCTCAAATATATGGACACGTAGCGCCACATAATTTTGATGACGTCATAGCAAAAAATAAAATTAATTGGGTTCTGGAGAAAAATTCCATCTTTAACCACTAAAATTTTTGAACCAATTGGTTCAGTAATCAAAGAGAAAAGCGATTTCTTCAAAACGTGTCAATGAAAAAGAACAAATAACAACAAACGATCGTTATGTCCACTACGTGTCCAATAATGCTCAAAGACTATTGTTTTAACCCGTCTGCCCTACACAAAATTACATAGTATCGGTATCGGCATTTTTAGCTGATATCGGTATCGGCGACAATAGTGGTATTGGTACACCTCTACTTTCGATCTCTTTTTTCTCCGGCCGTCGGGCTGGAGGCCGCTCGTGTTTTTAGTTCTTCAGTGATGTAATCTGTTATGCTGTTTTAAGTTTGATATTGAAGTTCCCGTACAATAAACAATCAATCCGGAATCCTTGAGTCTTCTGATTTATCTACAACCACGGTAGCAACATCATCGTCCGTGGCAATGTAATCTGTTGTGCTGTTTTGAGTTTGATATTGGAGTTGCCGTACAATAAACAACCAATCCGGAAACCATGAGTCTTCTGATTCATCTTCAACCACAGTAGCAACATCTTTCTACCGTGACACAAGCACACAAATGTTCTACGATTGGAAATAGCAAAAACGGAAGGTGGGACACTGGGAACGACGAGAAATCATCTCTCATACTATATCTGGAATTAATGTTTGGCCCGCCTTTTGGTGGATTACGATGTCCCCGCAAACAAAAAGCGATCGTGCAGTTGGTTTTGGGGTTTTAAAGTATGCTTTTCCTTTTTAGCCTTTTTAACAGAATAAGCCACAGTTCAAATTTTAAGCTTTAGTCCACTGTGGAATATTCATAACGTTGGCGAGTGGATGTCTCTCTATATTCTTGACATGGAAATGTCTGACAAGACCATCTGCACTGGTATATGCAACTCATTCTGATATTGAAATACAATTATATTCGAGTTAGGAAGTAAAATGGGGTATCACACCTCAAAAATAAGGAAGAGGGGGGGGCACTACGTCAGTGGTTTTATCTGTCTAGTGCTTAGTAGCGTATATATGCGTTAGGTTTTGTGCAATATTTGGTTAAAATACGAAGGGAAAAGTATGAAAGCGACATCCAATTCTTATGATTAGGACTGGGCATTTTGAATCGAATGTTCGAATCGAAAAGCAAAATATTCGAATCGGTTCAGAGCAAAATTTCGAATCGCCGCCATCTTATTTGTTTTCTTTCCGCCAATGGTCGAGGTGAATCCGATTTGAAAAAAATATTTGATTCGATTCTGAAATCATCAGGTATTCGAAAATACCCAAACCTACTTATGATATGCCAAATTTTACTTTTTGAGATATGTTTAAAAATGTATAATTGAAGAAGCTGAAGGAAGTTCAACAGCCAAGTTATACTCAAAGTGTCTATAAACACATATATATAGACACTTTGGGTATACGGTAAGAAGAATTATTCAGATAGTGAAAAAGAACAGTATTCGATTGAGGTTTCGCGACATTATTATGGATTAACCAGGAAAGATGTTCTGGGCTGGCTTGGCAGTTTGCAGTCAAAAATTGGAAAAAGGTCTCACATTAGCAGCCAAGCAAAAAAGAATCGAACGATGCAACTTACAGGAGTAGACGGCCTAGGCTGGACATTCCAATGTATATTTGAAAGTGTTTTACCAAGTTGGCGCTTACAAACTGGTTAACAAGTTCCATAATCATCATTATAATTCATAACATTTAACCACTTGACCCTTCTAAATAATGTCAGCTTAGTTTTACCAACTTCACTGAGACAAAACTTCACTGCGATAAAACTAAAGCCCTTCGGAAGGCAAAATGATAACTGATGACAATACCTAAATTTTGAAATCAAAACTAAAAACTGACGAATTGCTAACAAATAAATAATGAAAACGAGCTAGTGTTGAAACTCTATCGGAGTCAAAAACGAAACGTTAGAGCGGTTCCTAATATTTCAATTGTTACTTCACATTGACATCTGGCCGATCGGAAAATATTACAGCAAAAATAAATGGGAAAATCGATGCTGGGGAAAAATTAGCCTCAGCGAAATTCGATCAGTGCCTAAAGGTGGGTTATCAGTGACAAGTTTTTGTGGCGAATTTGATTCTATATAATTTTTCAAAATTTTGTGCATTTACCCCTTACATAAAATGGACTTCGTTTGCGGTACACGAATTTTTAAAAGTCAACCATGCAGAAATCGACCGATATTTAGTAGAGTTCACTGATGAGTTAATACTGAGAACTCGTCAGTGTAATTTGCATTAGGTTGGAGGCAAATATAGCGTTCTGTATACTTATTTTGAACCGAATGCTAGTTCTATCAGACGAATTTGGCAAACGCTACCACTTAACGAATCTGGGTTATATGTACTCGATTCCTGTGCCTGATCTACTGCTGTAACATATTTTCAAGTTAAAAAACGCATACTACGCGAAGTTTTTATCATATATAATTCCCTCATGTAAATAAATGTTTCCTCTCGAATCTCCATTAGTTGATGCCTTGTGTTATAAATATACCATTGGCCTCTGTCGTGCCAGGCGTTTACCTTCAAACAAGCCTTTGTAGAAGCATCCACTAATATGCAAAAGCCAATTTATTTCTGGATGAACTCGAATATCTTTCACTTATTTTGAAAAATGTGCAGGATCGAACTGGGAATCTTATTTTCTTTTTAGTCACACTCCGGCATCATTCATAAATGATCAGTTCGAGATGTTCCGGTTGGTGACAGCCGGACAGTGTTGATAATAGCAGTGTGAAAGGGAAAAGATTGTATACAAATTAAATTATTGGAATTGACATACACGAATTCAGGACCATACTGTGATATCATCAGACAGATTAGTAATGTTTAGCATGCAGCACTGTCTTGTTCCATGATAATGTGAAATGAATAGAAAATTGGAATTCTGGGATTCCACGTTTACCTGGTAAATGTACCAATTGGCAACTTGTACTTCCCAGACTTTCAAGTTGCAACGTAAACCATGCACAAAGTTGGTTTATTTACCAGTGTGAGTTAATGGCATCATACGTCGGCTGAATATTGCATCAAATAGCCGAAAACGGAATAAAGTGGTAAAAACTTACTTTTGAATCAGTTCCTCAAAGCCGGTACGATCATTAGGCTACATAAAACGCATTTGGGTTATACAGTATACAACTCAATGATAAAACCTTATTGCTTGATCCCATTACAGTCAGAGATTCCGATGCATTAGCATTTCTGTTTTACATTACATTGTTATTCCATCTTTATGAAACTACGCGACGAGGAACTGGGATTAAGCCAAAAACAGAGGTTAAACCGTAGTAGTATATATTTACACTTAAACACCCTACTCGCAAACTCGCGAGGAATGCATTTCTGGTATGGGTTGTCAGTATTACACGGTGAAAATTTTTTCATTATTGTGTCTGTGCTATTCTTTTTTTTTTTATATTTCATACTGAGTCCGACTCTGTTATGGTGATCTGTAATGTACTAGAACTAGATCACAATGTAGCACCGGTACAATATATATTTTACACATGTCCTCTGAACTCTATCATAATGTGCTGTTAGTGTCGATTCATGGAACTAAAATATCTGCTGACTCATTTTCCGTCTTCTTTACATTAATTTTGTAGCAACCAATTCCAAACTTTTGATAACCGTGTAAAATTGGTCAGAAGCCTCGATGACTTTCAACGGACTTGCATACTGGCCAACACAAAACAATGTGTAAATTGGATAGTCTATTTCTATAAAAATGATCGATATTGTTTTTTTATCGTTTATGGAAATAAAATCTCTCTCCTACAGTCTCGTAGCGAGCAGCGCATTACGCACGGTGAGGCCGCATTAGGAGCAGCGCATTACGCACAGTGACGTCAAAAAATGTCAAATAATTTAACTAGATTTAAATACGTTCAAAGGGAAATTTAGGAAACGTAAATGCAATCGAGAGTGTAAGTAAAAAAAAAGGATGTTTTAATAAAAAATATGAATGGACACGAGAGAGAAATGAGCAGCGCATTACGCACAGTCGGAATAGCTCGCAACGAGACGTTTTAGCTACCAACCTCTCTCGATCACAGGTTCGAATCCCATGCGGGGATGATCATGTGCGAGAGGATTGCTGGACTCCTCGCCGCCGTAGGGTGGTTCACGTTACCGCTGGTCGGTTACGGCTTCCTCTACCATCAAGTCCATGCTTCCGAGAACAGATAACTGGCTAACTAATCCCATACCCGACCTGGACTGGTAACCGGACGAGAGGCCGTGGTTCGCCATATGATTAAGCCGTCTTATCGGCTTTCCTCTGCCACGGGAGAAATATGTAAATCCTATCCTAAATTCATCAAAAAAAAAATCCAGTGATGCCGTAATCCGCATTCAAAGTGCTACCTGACAATATGTTGTTATGTCATTATGGTTATGCAATATCTCCAGTTCGTGACTCATCCCATATCTGCATATTGTGCACTGAGCCCCATTCGAACTGTTTCCTACCCCTCTTCTGTCAGTGTCACTGAGGTGTCACATTTTAGGCACCGCATCGTACCGTATATCTTCACCGTCAAATTTATACAGTGCCTGCACCTCCTCTCCGTCACTTCAGTACCGATACTGGTACGCGTGCTACGCCTTTATTTCTTGATCTACAGATCTATCGATTGCAGTTTCAGTGAGTTGGGATAGGATACTCGTAGACTACTCAAGTTTTAATTATTTAGTGTTCTGAACAAGATATTTTTTCGAAGATAAGGGTCACTATAAAATTTCAAGATGGCAGCAAAACGACTTATGGCTGAATACAAACGTAAGTTTTGAAGTAACTACAATCTCATATTTAGTAACGGTAGCGGTACCGTACCATATCGGTACGGTACTGGCACGTTATTGCACGAATACGGTACTGTATGTACCGCCGCATATGCTTCTCAACCTGAGTACAGGGCTTGGAGAGGCGTCAACTTATAGTAATATCATCCCAGTTTCCATTAAGTTAGATGTTAAATCACTGTACCTATAGTGACAAAATTGGTGAAATTCAATAGATGAATATTGAATGATTTTTTATTTTGAACTGCATTGCGGTGCCAGTAAATACGTACGGCCATGCCGGTACCCGGAACCGGTCCATTTGTTGAAATTGTGCAGATTCTGACATTACAGCATTATACGACAAAAAAACCCAATATCCTGATCCATGTTTGTGCATAGACTGTTACAGTGTTATGAAACATGCAATCTATTTACAGAGCTTATTTTTTTTCAGTAACAATTTTTTGTCACTGTGTTATTTTTGCAATGGAATTGAACTACAGCATCACCATTTTACGTCAACGAGTGTTGTATATTCCATATTTTTGTAGGAAAAGCACTGTTGTGATACACATACCATAGCCTTGCATTCCATCCTATCAAAGTGTATTTATTAAAGTGTATTTATTATTTGGGACCCACCGAGTGTTTATGTTGTGTTTGAAACCCGAACGATACCCATTCGTGTCTTATCATTTTTATTTTGCATATATGTTTGTGTGTTGAATGTGAGTAAACTGGCGCATGTATATTTACATGTATTGAACCTTATAAAGGTTTTGCCAGTTTCCCCGATTTTCCCGATCTTCTGTGTGTTCATTGTTTGTGTTCTGTGTATGATTTTTTTTGGCGGGGAAATCAAAATATACTTATACTTATACATTCTTGCTTTGAAATATATTTGAAAGTTTATACTTTCATGTATGCATATATACATTTTTAGAGTTGGCGACACAAGCACCGGAAGGAATTGTTGCTGGGCCAAAGGAAGAAAGCAACTATTTTGAATGGGATGCTTGTATAATGTACGTATACATTTTTATATTCAGTCTGTTCAGTACTTTGGTTAGCGTATAAAATACTATGCTTCAAAATACTTTTATTCTTGTAGCAGGAACATCCCAACTAAGAGAAAGTTATTGAAACTTTAACCCATAGTTTTAAAACATAGGTTCAGCTTAAGTATTTCTCGCAGTCAAAGTATGTTTTTTTATGAACATACAGAAACTAATATACTCAAAATTACTCTTGTTATTTATTCTTAGATTTTCTGATAACTTAATTCTCTAAATTGGTTGAATATCTCATTAGAAATCTCCATTTATGCCATGATCTCAAATCATACAACATGTGAAAACAAATACATTCTATATAAATTGAAAATTTCGACTTCACTAAATCACTTGATATGAATTTATCTTAGATTCCTAAATGGACAAACCAAAATGAAAGTTGTATATATTTATTGCCAATTTGAATTTGACTGAACTTGTAATCCCAATTTAAATGTTCAAAAAATTGTATTCAGTCCAACAATTTTTTGTTTAGCCAACTTCGCCATAAATAGAAATGCAACATAACTTTCTGTATTTATTCTTTGAGCCCTTCATTTTTGGTTTTTGACTGATTTTGCCATGTTTGGAAGCGACTGCCCATATCTCCGGAAGACTTCTTCTTAGAGTACACTTATTGAAAAAGCGCAACCATGCATAATCGGTCTGACGATTTTCCTAATGCAGAACAATGCAATGAAACCAACTCATTGCTAACACTTCAGCTACGAGTTAAAATAATACCACCAGAGTATGACTAAGCTTTATTTTTTTTATAGGGGACCAATAGGCACACCATTCGAAGGTGGAGTTTTTTCAGCTGTGATGACTTTTCCATCAGATTATCCTCTTAGTCCTCCTACAATGCGATTTACATGTGATATGTTTCATCCAAACAGTAAGATTTTGATATATCAGTTTAATAATCATTAAGTGCAATTTATATATATTTAATTCACTTTCTCAATTTAGACATCCAGATTACCTTATTATGAATAACATAACACTATGAATTTTACAGCAAGGCTACACATGCAAATGTTATATAGCAGAGAATGGTTGGTCTTCTATTGATCATAAAACTTAGTTACCTCTGGATCTGGTAATTGTGTAGTGGTGTAGTCCTTTTGCATCTATACATATTTTGGTCCTTTGAAAATTATTTTGTATGATGAAATCAATTTTTTGTGTGATAGAACTAGGGCTGTGAGCTTGATTCGGAGCCTGTAGCTTGGGGCTTTGACATTTTGGTCGGGCTGGAGCCAAGCTAACATGTTAGATGGAGCTGGAGCTACCAGAAATTTTAGTGGATACCAGCTCCTAACGATCTAATTATTTTGAACGTTCATAATTTTCTGATACAAATAATAAAAACTATCCTTTTCAGCTCTTGAATTGTTATAAATTTCAACGTACAATATTAATTTGAGAGTTTCAAGTTGTCAATTTATATATTTAACACTTTGATTTTAAAACCCGTATATCATAGTTTTGAGTCCAGCTTCCACGAAACTGCATTGTGGCAAATATTTCATGATAGTGGTCACACTGGTTAAAAACCTCATTAGGTGTGGAGTTGAAGCCCGGCTGAGATTATAAAAACAAAACTGCAGAGCGGAGCAACTGTGATTTTATTCCAGCTATCCAGCCGTGTCTAAAACTAGAAGTTTTTTTTAAACCACGTCATAATTTGTTTGTTAATAATTGGAAGCTGAAATATCTTCTTAATCTTTGCAATTCCAACAGTATATCCAGATGGAAGAGTTTGCATTTCAATATTGCACGCCCCTGGTGACGACCCGATGGGATATGAATCAAGTGCTGAAAGATGGTCGCCTGTTCAAAGTGTTGAAAAAATTTTGCTCTCTGTAATAAGCATGCTTGCTGGTGAGTTGTTCAAATCAATTTTTCAAAACTCTATCTTCATGTAAACTATCCTATTCACATACACAGATTTCTAATCAGAACTCTATCGGGGATAAAATGGAGCCCTAAGTTTTAAACATGCTTGTTTGTTGTTTTTCTCATTGGTATTTCAGCTTATATGGAATTATTTACCTGCATTTTCTGTGAACTGCACAAAATCTTGTATACCTTAGCTTAAAAAATTATTAAAGAGAGGCGCAATTTTATGCTAAACTTATTCCAATGGTTCTGTAGCGCTAATAAAAACTTGCATTCGTTGCATAACATTCTACCACGTATTTCTTAAAATTGTCAAGTGGTAAATGCTCGGTTTTAAATATATCTTATTGGCACACAGAACCCAATCCTGAATCTGGCGCAAATGTTGATGCTTCGAAAATGTGGAGAGATAATAGAGAATTATTCAATAAAAAAGCGAAGAACCTTGTAAGGAAATCTTTGGGTCTTTGATTTAAAAAACCTATCATTTGTACAATATTGATCTTTGAACATTGTCAATACTTATTCGTGGATCATGATGAATTGTGGATATAACAAAGATGTACAGAAGAATTCAGTTCCAGTTCAAGATTGTTGTTACACATTTCAAAAGGCTACAAGTCCGCGCTAATGATAATCAACTTCTGACTCTATTTATTGCGATGTTGCCAGAGCACTTGGCATATTATTTTTTTCCTGTTGGATATTTCAATTACATAGAATGGCAAAGGGACACATTTATATAATATCTATCCATGACTTTGCCGACGTTTATTCCAATCAGTTTTAATGAATTTTGTCACCATGCTTACATGGTTATCTTATCTAAATTTATTTTGTGTCTGAATTGTCGTACCACATCGGATTTACCCAATGGTTTGCATACCTACACTGGATGCCTTCTTCGTTTTCTATTAAATCCAACTATATATATGTCCAGTGCAATTGATTGAATTTGTAAATACATTGTCCTCCAGCATTTGATTCATTGTCAGTTCTTCAATTATTGGTTGGCACCTGGTAAATGGAAGAAGACCAGTTTAGTGTTCTCATGTTCATCATAAAAGTTTGCTCAAACTCGCTATGAACAGGTTCACTCATTTCTGAAAACCGTGGCAAACTTATAGCTGTATCTGTATGACAATACAAGAAGGTAGAATGGTCGTACTACATGACAAGAAAAGCCTGCGAGTCCTATTTACTGATGTATATCGCTAGTAGGCTAAATTAACACGACTCGCGCTTTTCACCATACCTGCGCAAGGTACGGACTTCCAACCGTCCCAGAATTGACGTCCTGTGTCCCGGACTGGGCAACGGTTGTCCCGATATTCAGTGACAAACGTGGCGTTCTGAAAAAGAATGATAATGGTATGATTATCAGCATTCGTTTTTCAAGGACATAACCCCACTTGCTCTTGAATATGACATGGAATGGTCAGGCTTGTTGAACATTCCAGCATAAGTCTCGACTGCGATAAATTGTATGAAAAACTATGTGCGATGAAAAAGGTAGGCAGTGAACTTTTAAGCTTAACTGGTGACGTTTCAAAGTATAATAAGTATAAGTTTATTTCGACTCCATAATCAGCATAACAATACATTTGACAGATAAAAACAAATAAATAAAGACTGATTATGAAATCAGGGGAGCAAACAAAACCTTAGATAAGGTTTATAACGTACAAAATATAAGATGGAAGGTTTTACCAAGAGGAAGTGGTACGTGTTTACTCACCTAAAATTATTAAGTTATTTCACACACGCTCACATGCACCCACCAGCCACACACACAACCACTGAGAAGTTATTTGAGTAAGAATAAAACGCGATAAATTTAGGGTATACTATACAGTAAACAAAAATAAATAAATAAATAAATACTAAAAAAGAAAAAAAAATTATCTGCCACACCATATTGATATTTTTGTAATGGTAGCCATTGCCAAATTGATCGATCTTCTAATCGTTAATTAAGATATAAAAGGAAGATTCTATTGAAAACATATTGCCAAGCTGATTATAGTTGGAGTCAAATGCCAAGTTGCCCAACCAAAGTTGCCAGAATTGGGTGCATGAAGAGGTGGGCGAGACCATTTCATTCCCCAAATTAAAGCCTATTATTGCCAAATTATAGTCCAGATTGTAATTGTAACAGATAGGTTAAGTTCTCTGCCACTCAGCAGCAAGGCGATACACAGCTGTTATGTCTTGTATCATTTGTCTAATGTCAAACGACAATTGTGAAGGAATGTTCAGTATTATGAATGCGGTTTGGACCAACAGTAGAAACAAACTAAACTTGAATCTCGTTAAAGCTGAAATGAGATGAAATTGAACTTTCATATGTCATGCAATGAGTTTATCAGCAAAGACAAAGATCTTCTTTTAAATCCCAAGAAAAATGCAAACTCAAATACCAGAATGACTGATTTTTTGTGTTTTTTGTAAATAATTAAATCTACTTAGCTCAAATTTAACATTTTGTATGCGAAATTAATGCAAAATCAGGGCGTGTAATACATTTGCCACAATGGATAAATACCTGTTCCGGACAACCGCGATATATCCTATCTCTATTTCTGTAAAGTAAAACAATTGACAAAAGAATTCATCTGCATTTCAATTAAGTTTGAGGAACGAATGACCTGAACTACCAACGTTTTTAAGGCATATTATCGGATTTTCAAAGTTGGTATTTTTTTTCGCATTTTCATCCACATAACTTATCTTATACAACAAAAACATCTGCTTCCCCTGCCGCCGACGCTTTTGTGACAAAAAATGGCTATTTCAACAAGTATTGGAATCTCAACTCATATTACAATGTTCATTTTCTATAACCTTGCACGGAATTAGCTTCCTCTTTATTAGGTTGTTCCTCTTATAAAGGTTGTATCACTGTCCTATATGTATGCGAGCAAACTTTTTTGTATTAAAAATTGACAAAAACAGGTAGTCATCTGTATTCTCTGAACTTGTGCCATATTTTGAAAATATTACTTTTATTTATCGTGCCCAATTATGAGAATGGCTGTGTCGAAACGATCATGCTTTACACCGTTTATGCGCTATATATCGGAAAATAATATGACATATTATGTATACAGGGTGTCCAAAAAATTCCGCTCAATTTTGTTGTGGTAACAATTAAAAATTTCTTTGTCTTTATTAATAGTTCTTAATGTGCTTGTAATTCTCATTAATCATAGAATATAATTTATTTAATCTTACAATTGTTATCACTAGATAATTGGACAAAATTTCCAATTGTTATCGCTGTGGGGTCGGGCGAAATTTTTTGGACACCCTGTATACTGTTTTATATATGATGGTAAATTTCGGCAGGTAAACAGTTTTTATTTGTTGCCGTACTTCGGTTCATTGGAGTTGTGCAGTCCTGTTTCACACAAATATAATACCTAATATTCTAATTGTCAAAGATAACGCAAGTCACCAGCTGTGGTGCACGGTATCTATTTACTGCTCTTGTCTAACGTCTAAAACAAGAACGGGTTCGCGAGAACTTCCTATCAGTCTCTACCATGAAATATTCTTACACATCGATTGGGCTTGCAAATGAAACTGGTAGGTCGGACGATGACACCAAGCAAGAGTTCTTGGAGGAAAGAGAAAAATTTTCAGATATTCATTAGCTTTGGTCTATGTCCACTTTATAACGTTGGCGAGTGAATAGTCTTTCCTCATCTCGACGGAGGACAGTCTAAAAATATTTGTTTTCTGTGGGGATTTGACGGTGTTTTCCATTAGGTGATGCGTTATGTTTTATGTAATATTGGGTACCTTTTGAGCCATGGTCAAATATAAGTAATTTATTCCAGATTTAATAATAGGAATCTAAAGTATTCAACAAGGCAAATCTGCAATGCGGAAACCTTAGATACGAATGTCGACAAAGTGATTTTAAGATGCCAATTTGATTAAGAAATTTTTGGGAAAAAGATCTGGAATATTTTGGTCGCACATTTCAAAAATATTAAGTCTCTAAATTTGTAGTCCCACAGTCCTTTGGATGATGATTCTGATTCGTTAATTATTTTTAACGGCATACTTCGTTGAATTTAACTGACTCCCATTGTGCCCCAGGATGTGTCCGAATGCGTCGGAAAAAAACAAGTGGGGTGCAGTGAGACACTCGACAAACGTTTTTTATAGCATTTTGGTCTCCTGGAAATACCTTTCCCTCTGCATTAGCCCCACAATATCAAATGAATGCGCAGATTATAGGGCCAAAAAAAGTGTCTCAAACTTCCCCATCTCCCTACTACATTGTTTGCATTAAATTTGCGTAGTACCCCTCCCTTTTGTTTGACGGTGTGAAGAATGACAAAAAGTTCAGAGGAACCAATTCCGGCTGTTTCTGTATGACGATGGAGTAGACTGCACGTTTTAAAGCAAGACCCTCTTTTACAACTTGACCAGGCAATTGAACACCAGTAGTATATGCATCGACGTGTTGTCTGATCTTCATTACCCGGTTGTTCGATTACATGCTTGATCGCTTGCAATCCAATAATTCCTTTGGTTATCTGAACCATTAATTTCTACGTACGTGAATCTTGAGAGATTTCAATCTAGCTGTAGTGGGAAGTCTTGTGATGACTTTGGAAACAACTTGTTGCAGTTTCTTATGCTTTCGTTGTCTCACCAGTCATGATTGTAACGTTAAGTAAATACTCTATGTCTATAACTTATACATTGACGGCGGGCAACGAAGTCCTCAGTTGCCGCATAGTCGGTGGGACGAATTACGTATCGTGTGTTCTTTGTGTCGACATTGGGACAGTAATATCCCCCTCTATTCCGACATACATTTCGGAAACGAGTGAGCAATCATGTACACGCCTGATTTCCATAGTATTATATTTATTTAAGATCATTTTAACTTGTTTATATATAACAATCGCAATGACGCATGAAACAGTAGCAATACTTTACAATAAAGCCCAATACCACGGTTTTTGCCCCTAGATTATATCTTTTTTAGGCAAACCATATTTTGCATAAAAGCTTAATCACAGCCCGATCAGAATCTTCAAGCTGAAGTGTTCTTGTATTTGGCTTATTCGCTTCCATAAATGGTTTGTCGCCGAATTTAGTTGTCGTCATGCGATGTTATCATCGAAACGGAAGTTCCAATTCATAACGTCATAATAATATGTTGTTGGCGTCTTTATATGGTGTAGCGAACGTGATACGTCCCGCAATTCTTACAACTTCCGTCTGGAAAGACATTTGGATCGGAAGTGTTTTCCTGAGAGTCTACCGCACAATATTTGTCATTAGGGGGGAAAACTCCAACAATATCGCGAGTTTTTTGATATCCCATAATGATTTAGTCCCAAAATTCCTGCTCGAATGCGGTATACGCGTTTTTTTGATGAACGAATCAACATATTATGAATTTACAAATCGCAAACACACTCTGAATGAGTTGGGGAATGTAATTCAGAAATAACTGTAGAATCACAAGTATGATTTGTGTCACATGACCAATAAATCATAAAATTGTTTTTGGCACAGTAGATTTCCGAAACCTGACTTTGCTTAAGCTTTGAATACCACAGGAAAGCTGTCAACGTTTAAAATGGTGTCGAACAGATGGCATATAAGTGCTTGTGTATCAAGAAGAAATAAGAAGTCATTATTCTGCATTTAAGCAGCCGTGCCGAGTTCAAAATGCATTTTTCAAAACAGCCGTAAATTGTCAACTTAAATGTCAACCTTTCTGCTAATTTCTGGCCCATCAGCGGCTTGTTATCAATACAGCTAACCTTTAACCATTCGCTTATAAACTTGTACGAGATACGGATTGGTGGAGGTTGCACATTTTAATTACCCCATTGGTGGTCAGTTTGTGAATTAAATTTTTTGATCTGTGAAATGAAGAGCAATTGATTCGCCCATAGAACGTGAATGAAAACATGCCACAAAGTTTGAATTACTTCCTGTTGCTTTTATATGAAGGAACCGCGTTTCAATTTAAGAAACGTTGCATGAATACCCTTGGCCATCAGTGAGCCGTGCTCGTGCACGAGATACAAGTCTTAGGGCCATGTTTGACAAACCCACAAGATTATTTCACATATTTCCGGTGAAAATCATTTAGAAAATTTTTTCTTTGAAAAGTTTTTACTCGTGTGCATGTCGCGCTTTTCTTAAAGTTTATAAACTGAATAATCGTGTTACAAGACTCCAGTTACAAGAATCTAGTTTGAGGCATTGCGGGATTTTTCGGCAAAAATCAGCACAATGATCAGGGTACTGATTTATTTATACCTAATTTATGTCTCCGCTGGTGAGTACTCTATAATTTTATTTTGAAACATTCATTAAATTAGGGCGAACCTGAATATAGCGCAGTTTGTAACTCTAGTTTTTTTCTTTTGTCGATACTTATCAGAAATAAACTCAGATGTCAAAATTTGAAGAAGTAGTTTGTTCGTAAGTTCGTAGTTTTAATTTTAAAGGACTTTCTATTTTGTGATTGATAATTATATAAAGATACACAGTCAATTTATGTTTTTGTACACAACAAGAACGTAATTTTTTGAAAATATATATCGATATTCTCAATTGACTTTTTGCCTTGTTATCAAGTCATACACTATATAATAAATTTTGTAGACTACTCGCCAAGAAGGAAAGATGATGACCGAATGTCTTAATATCGGATTGGTGGAATCAATAGTTTATTTCCGCACCATACCAAAATAATTCATACTGTACATGCAAAATGTAAAATTAATTTCAGCATCGATACCAAATATTCAAAATATTTTTCAAAAAAACTTATGTGCGCATTTGAACGTGTCTTGTGGATTTAATTATTTAAATCCTATTTTCAAATATTATGGGCCTACAGCATAGAGGAAGGGATCCGCGTTCGATTCTTATTTAATGAAATATCTTTTGAAGTGAAGAGATTGATCTAAAAATTGTTGATGAACTGAATTTACACTGCGCGCAGCGAAATGTACTTGTTCCAGGCCAGAGGAGACATTCCACTTTACTACTTACTCAAATTAAATTGTTAATATTCAAAGCGGACGAACTACGAAGATTGCCCTGCAAAGCACCGAAGTATGGCAGTATGAAAATTCTCGAAAATAACAAAGTTATGTTTGAATGCGACGACGGCTTCTTTTTGTTGGGACCGAGCGAAGCAGAATGCAACATGTCAGCCAATGAATTGATAGGTGTAAAATCCATCGGGTGTATTCGTAAGTATTTAAGTATAATATTTTATTTAAATAAATTTGCTTTTTATAATTTTATAGAAAAATTGATCGATGTTACTGGCGGAAGTCCGGTTATATGAAATTGAGTATTTTTGTTAAACCAGAGTTGACATTAATTAACAACCCGAAAAAAGCAACAGTCTCATCGACTACTTATAAAAATACAACGAATAAATGATATAAATCTGATAAAATAATAAAAAATTGTAAACTTAGGAAGTATATTTTATACTTACTTAATATTTATTAACATACTGATTAATTTGCTATTACAGCAATATTTAAAGGGAATGCAAGTTGTGGCGACAGGGTAAGAACAACTTAATATATATAACTATTTTTTTCATTAGAATGAATAAAGCCCATTATATATATTAAAAATGGACACTCTTGCAATATTAGAAATATTTATCTGGTCTGCTCCGCATGTCTTTGTATAAAGCAATACTTATACCCCTAATCATGTCAATTATGTAACTTGACGTAAAATTGAAATTTCAAACACAATTTGTACAATCCCAACAGTGTCCAAAAGACTTGAAGTATCTTCTCGATATCTACATCGGGGAACCAACGGAAGATCAAAACGAACGGGGTGCAACTGTCATGGGATGGTGGGAAGCCGATAAAAGATCGAAAGGATCGACGACTGCCATGTCTTGCGATAGAATATGCAAGTTAGGGCCAGATGCCTGCTTCACTCCCAGTCTGAATAAAAGAAGTATAGTATTATATATTTTTAATGTTTATAAAATATAACGAAGTTCAATAATTATCAACTCAACGCCGAATCTATGGCGTTAGGAAAAAAATAACTGTTGAAAACACAATTTTTGAAAGTATCACATGAACCTGACGGTAAAGTTAGGTTATGATTACAACTTGTCTTTTCAAATCGATTGCTTTGTGTTACGTATAGCAGCACTGCTTGGCAATAAATACTAATAATGTGTTATTTAATTTTTTTAGTTTAAATTGATCAGAATTCTTCCATTAAACATTATTCTAAAACGAACTGGTTGTATAAGCATATATATTTCAGTTGGAAACGTTGCAATAATTATTTTATAAGTTGTTTACGACTCTCATGATGATGTTCATTTGCTTCTTTGCAGATAGAGCAAAAATAAGATGCCTGAGGTGTATCTATAAAAGAGGTTGTGGGAACACTTTTTGGGGATAAAATACGGAGTTCAATGAAGAAACCTTAAAGATTATTCAAGAAGACAGGAACATTTTTATATATTCTGACAAAATAATGAAAAAGGTTTTTTTCGCAACAAAGAATTTTCGAATATTCTAATTACAAAATATTATGAAACATGCAGTTAATGATCCTTTACTTTAATTTTTACGAATAATTACTGTAAATTATGAAATCAGTAATATTAAACAGGTCACACAAATTGAAGTCATGTGTTATCGAACTAATTCATACGCTCAGGAATCTCATGCCGATTGATTCGGAGTCTTCGCAGCATCTGATACGAGATATTATATATATGAATGCTGCAGTCGGGTAGCTTCAAATTTTGGACTGGAAAAGTGATAATTTGGGCGGCGCGTCTTAGCTAACTGGTTGCTCTTTGCAAACGTACTTCTGCGCAAAATCAAAAAACTCACATCGCCATTTAGGGCCAAGTCCATTTATAGCCAGCGAACCAGGTTTAGTGAGCCTCATTACGGTTAGGTGAAGAGCTGGTTATATTGTCACAATCTCTATCTGATGCGCTTCCCTTTGGCACGGTGGTTTTCAACCTGTGGTACGTACCACTGGTGGTACGCGGGAGCTTTTCATGTGGAACGCGAGAAGCATTGAATTATTGCGACAGTTAACTTTCGAAATGGCTAAAATAGGGCGGCAACGCTTTCTCATTATCTTCCATACTGAATGTATTCACTAAACGGGTATATAGAGTTACCAGTTCTTGTCTTTAGAGATCGCCCTCGCCTGTCCACCTAAAACGAATCCCGACCCCAGAACGTGCTACGTCCACAATGCATCTCCATTGAGAAATCGACAACGAAGGGAGCGTTTAGCGGGAGGGATCGACGCGTGTCGTGTCGAGATACCCTGGTAGATAGGCTTGCCCATGGGACATATTTTTTTGTTCCATCCAATCCCATGAAAATTCATGCCTCTCCCATCCCATGGGATTCCCACAGATGTTCCCCTGACCTTCGACCCCCGAAAAATTCTCTATATCACTATTGCAAAATTTTAGGTGTCTTTTTTAGGTGGTTTTGCGAATTGGCGTCTATAAACTAGTTTATATGTTTTATATATATCATTGTTTTGATTGAAAACATTCAACAACCTGTCATTTAAAAGTACTGGTGGGAAAGTATAGCCTGGTTTATCACTTCTATTTCAAGACTAATTTTTGATTACTGCAATTAAACTAAATCTTCTAAATTATATTTTTATAATTTAGTTATAATTGGGTTACTTGATTCATACCTAAATTTACGAAACCCAACTAAAAACTAGCAAATAGCATGCAAAAATGAGGTAATGTTTAAAACCATTCTCAAAAATCTGTCTGAGTAGCTGCTGAAACGTCTATTGTCACGTTACTTTTTGCATCTTGCTGATTAGTTAATGTTACGGAAGTAAACAAAGAAGTCAATTCTCGGGGAAACATCCATTGGAATACAATTCAATAAAAAATTAAATTCATGAATATTCAGGTCTAGTGTCTACATATAGGATTATATGCACAAAGAGACATGCAAAACGACAAATTTTTGCCTAACTTTGGCAATCCAGTATCATTCTGACACTACTTTTCTGTTTTGGAGTCACTCTACTCATTCAGCAAATTATCAATTTCCTGCTCATCGACTGTTTATAATAGTTCAGTTAATCAGGGTAATTTTTGAACCATTTCCTTAACTTTCATGTTACATGCAAATCTGATGTAAACAGAGTTATAACAAGAGCAGATAGCCTTCCTTCTCAGGCCCGATCGCAATGAAAAAAGTTACTGGGTGATGTGGATACCAGATAAGATTCATCCGAATTAGCCCGCCAGTTTTCCGGAAAAGCTAGAATTCTGACCGCGCTCTAGAATGTAATTTTTTCATAACTATCACTTACGTTATACGCAGCATACAATATCGTGATACCAAGTTACCTTACTACCGTGTTTAAACCGCACAGTCGAGGACATAATGTTAAATTTATTGACACACAAAATGTAATCCTACATAAAATTGTCCCATTTGTCTTACGTGTCCCATGGGAAAAACAAATGTGTGCTGTCCCATCTCATCCCATGGGACGTTTTCCTTGGGAATGGGCAAGCCTGCTGATGGAGCCTTGATACATCATACGGACGTTATTATTGCTACCTGAGGTATATATATGTTGGCTGAACGGCATAATCTTAAGTTTTGAGATTAATTAATTTGGAGACTAGATTAGGCAGTTCGTGATAGCGGCTATCTCCGATAAAAATGTTTTCGTCTGAGCTTTGCGATAATTCAATGGTGGCGATGACTAAATCCTACCAGCTCTGAAAGTAGACGACACAAATTCTCTCACGATTTTTCACGCAATTAATACGTTTTTACCGCATATGATTAATTCGTTTAAACTTTGCACGAAGGTCTAAAAATGGATGTAGTGCCACATAAAATAATCCCATAGCACGTTTTTTGTGCAATTGTTCCCAACCCCAAAAGAGGGGTTTTGTCGGTGGTACGCGGCCAGAGTAAACCACAAAAGTGGTACGCAGTCAGAAAGAGGTTGAGAACCACTGCTGTTTGTTAGCAAGTTTCGTTCTGAGGGCAGCTACACAAGATGTGCACCGACACTCAAGTGCAGTGTTAATAGTGAATTTGTGTTAGTTTATTAATGGGTCTAGCTCAAATACCAGAGTGACCCAAATAAACTGAATTCTTTATTATTTCTAAGGAAACAAACAAAAAAATTTACTTTTGTTTGCGCTCGAACTTCTGTTCGTGTATGAATATACATTTCAGAAATTTAGGACGTTTTGCACAAAAGTTATGTTGTCTCTAGAATATGTTCCAAATTACCTCCTCGGCATTAGAGACAGACGCCATGAATATCTTATATAAAACATAACACGGTTAAAATATGTTTTGTGTGTTTTCTTAACTTTAAAAAACAATTTTCGGGCTAAAATGATTTTTTATGAATTTAATTCACTGTGGCTGGGAATATCAAACACCAATTGGTATATATATAGCAGATTATATATCATCTGGGTATCGAAATAGCCACCTGTAAAGAGTCTTTGGTTTAGACTGCCTATCGATATTGGTAAACAGCCGACAAAGCACCACACCACAAGGCACTGCATTGGTTTTTAAATTGACATAGGGATCGTTTTAGAAAAATCGCTCTTCTCTGGCTAACTACTGGATCAATTGAAAGTTTGAGTGGTTAAAGATTGTATTTTACCGTAGGAGGCATTTCTTTTTTTCTTGTTTCAAAAATTTCTGGCTCTATGGGATTTGTTTTGTTGTGAGCGACGACGTCAACAAAATTAAAAATTGCGCATCTTGTGGCGGTTCCGCTTTCTGCGCAAGTTAATATCTGCCACTGCTACCGGCAGTCTGCAGTGACAGATTGCATACCTATGGTACCTCGTTTTGGCTTTCGTGTCCATATACAGAAATTCAAGAATTTCGAAGAAGTTGCAAGGAAAATTCACCCAGAAAAGCAATTGACCACCACTGGTAAAGGAACACGACCAATAATTGGCATTTTATATACATTGCTTTTAAGCAGACTTGTGGAAACCATCTTACTCAAAATCAAAACCATAATTTTAGGGATTAGTGTGTGACTAAATACGTACTAGATCGGCAATTGCAATATTTTCAGAACTCATGAGAGAATGGGAAGCTTTCAAAAAATTTTTTTTTGATTTTTTCTTGCTATGCCACTGACAAACAGCGCTGAGAAAATTTTATACTCATTACTTTATGCAAATAAACATCTTGGTTGTGTGATTATAAACAATGAGAGATAATTTGCATATACAAAACATATAATTGATTTTTCTCACCATCAGTTGCCAGAGTACATAATGAGGTAACCAAAACAACAATTATATATCTTGTGGATGTGGCGTGTCACGTGACTCACCACCAACGTTTTATTAAAAAACTTGAATCAACTGCATGTATAGTAAAAAGCATTTTAACTTTTTACGTATGCAAAGACGCGCAGCACTTCCATAAACAAAGTATGCCAACATTTCGATGTAAACAAGCGCTAGGATTCGCTTAGAACCCTCATAGCAGGCTAGCTTACTATATACATGTTGAATGAAATGCATAATATATATATTTATATATACCGACATTATAACAAAGGACTGGTTACAGAATCAAGACAGCAGACAAAACTCACATAAAATATAGATGATTTGTTGATTAACTGGATGACTCATAGAGTCTTTCGCGACCTCTCATCAATTGCTAGATTCAATGTATTCTTTTTTTTTCAAATTTTATGTGTATTTATTGTTTTGCATCGTTTCTTGTACGATGAAAATAAATATCTGAACCTAAATTTGAGACAGAAAATAGCCTGATATGCGGTATCTCATTTGAAAATACGTTGTAGCAATAGGTCAGGCACAGAGATCGAGTATATTTTTACCCTCGATTTGTTAAGTTTATTGACATTTCTAACAATGTAACGATATTATTTTAAGGTATTAATATGTATACAAACCACTGCAGTGTTTGTTAAATGCAGCGCCCAATAGAACTACCATGCTATTCAAAATGAGAACACAGACCGTCATATTACCTGGTGTAAACGCCGATGAGTTCTCAGTACTACGTCATCGGCGGACCCTGCTAATTATCGGTCGCTTTCTGCAGGGTTGACTTTTAAAAATTCGGGCCTCGCAAAAAAAGTCCGCTTTATGTAAGCGATAAACGACATAAATCTCAGAAAAAATATATAGAATCAAATTCTCCTTAAAAATATTTCCATGATAACTCATCTTTAAAACTAGCTACCTGGCAAAACTGAATGCAGGTGATAGAATATCCCGAGTTAAGATTTATGTTTTTTCAGAGTCGCATATTTTGTGGCAAAATAGAAATAGATTAATGCCATTGATGACCATATTGTTGCTTCGCCAGCTCCAACTAGAATCGCTGCCGGTATCAGTGTGTAAAATTTTTGAAATTTAAATAAAAAACATATTAAAATAACATAAAATTTACCCACGCACGCAATACCACGGTATATTCAAAAAATTTCGTTGAAATTTATCCCTCCTGATATTTAAAGATATTATATTATATAAATTCGACAGAATTTGCATATCTCTAGCAACAGCAAGAAAGGTAAAAATGGAGTAGTTGATATCTCACGTGTGTGTACATGGTTTTCAATTTTCACTGACTATC